GGTTTGGGGTCTATTATACTATAATTATCATAAGGAGCCCCCAAGATAGTGTTGGTGATTATTTTGGGTGCCTATATTGTCCCCCCTTGGAGCCCTTGGATGCGGGCTCTGCAGTGTAGGCCACACCCCGCAAGTACGGGAATGGTAGTATGGACTCCGAAACAGACTAGTTAAGACAAGGTATCCTACAGAAGCACCCTGACTGTCGCAAGGGTCAGCCCTTACTTGTGTAACTTGTCTACTGTTACCAGTATTCCTGTCCATTGTTGCAAGCATGACTGCCAGAGCCCTGGAGCTGAAAAACCTGAAGACGCAAATGCAATCCGTACACCCCTAAAGCCCCCCAAATTAGCCTAGAGCCTGCCGAAGCTCTGCGAGCGTATCAACCCCATGTAATCTAAGACCATGAGAAATCGTTTACGAAGCCTTATGAACCTCTTTTTCTTACCTCAACATCCTTTGAAGAAAGATTCGAACCTCGGCGAGTTCGGCGAGGCAGCGCAGAACCTCACAGCCGGCGATTTGTACCTGTACAGCTGAGGTGGAGGGTTTAGGGTTCAGGGCTTGCGGTTTAGGGTTTATGTCAGGAGTTTGGGACTTAGGGTTTAGGTATGTATATATATATATAGGTATATATATACACACATGTATATATATATATATATAATTCTATGGGGCCATATGGTTTTGGGCTTAAGATTTAGGATTGCAGGGCGTGGGATCCAAAGCTTCAGACTGGGGTCTGGAGTGGTGCGAGTCAGGATTGTTCAATTCCGGGTTTGCAGGTGCAGGCCTTAAAGCCCTACGAGGAGGTTCATGGGTGGTTCTGAGTGGGGTGATAAGTCCCCGAATTGCGGGTTCTAAGTATTTTTACCCTACTTATAACCCCCCCACTTACAACATCTTACAACTACCTAAAACCCTAAACCCTAAACCCTAAAGCCTAAGCCTCCTGGTGGGGCCCCAGGGTGCTGGGTGGAGCTTTGAGGATCATGGGAGCCAGGCCTCAGAAGGCCTGACAAGTTTCGGCGGAAGCTCATAACCTACTTTGCATAATTATGTATACACATATAAATATGTGTATATATATATATACACATACAGATGTGTGTAATATACATATATATATACACACATGAATGAACATGTATTAAGTAAATGTGTATACATACATAAGGAAGAGGTCGGGGTCCTGTCAATTGCAAGCTTGCTGTCCCACGCCCTGCAGCCTAGAACGCCAACAAAATCTAACTGCCAAACACCATCCTAAACGCTGCAAATCCAGGCATGGATCCGGGACTCTGACCCTGACTCCATCTAAAGCCCAAGCCCCAAACCCTCTAAGACTCTAGGAACTAGGAGAGCCGAGACCGCGGAGAACGGCGGGCTTCGACCTCACTCTCCAGATTTCGACCAATTTTCATGTGAAAGTATCTTCTCAGGGATCCCATTTGGGCTCAGCGCTTGGGGTTTCGGCTCGGACCTACAATCAGGGCCGCCCCCCCCTCAACCCTACACCCTAAAATCTTAAACCCCAAGCCCCCAACCCTAAACCCCAATGGCCCTAACCGAACCCCCCGAAGTCTCTTTGCACCCTGTGCGCACGGATGCGCTGGCACGGTGTGTTCTGAGGGCCCGAAGCGACAGCCTCAAGGCCTGGGCGGGAGGGTCTTTAGACAGCAATAGTAATAGTTAATAGTAATAGTAATAGTAAAAGTACTAGTACTAGTAACAGCAATAGCAATAGCAATAGTAAAAGTAAAAGTAGTAACATATTTAATAGTAGTAGTAATAGTAATAGTATTAGTAATAGTAATACTGATAAAGTTTAACCCTAACCGTGACGGTTCCATGACAATGCATAAGAAATCCAAACCCTAACGGCCCATGTGCCCACATGGTACATATTAGGGCCTGAATCGTTCCATGTTCTAGCTGCTGTAGGTTTGGGGTTTTCGGGGTCTCGGCACAGGCTGCGCACGTCGATTCGATGCCTTTTCGATTCACGGCATCACGGGATGGATCTCTAGCCCAGATCCATTTGGGAGTTGCAGAAGATAAGGGACGCCAACACAGACCCCACAATGACAGGTCTCTTATGCCCGCAAGTGTCTGAGACTCCCACTTCATTCTATCGTACCTGAAGGCTCATGGGTAGCGAAGTTGGGTTCAAGGCCTCGGTGCCTTAGTAGGTAATCCTTCCCACTGCCTTTTCAGGAAATCCTGACTATGCAGCCGCCCTACGTGTCATGCTCTGGCCACCCATGAACCCGAGAGTACACTTGATGGTGCATGACATTCCATCATGGCAGTCATTGCGCTGTCGGCACGGCATTTTGCCTTGCAAAACACGATGAAGATTGTTTAACAAGTTCATCGCAGCAGAATAGCCACGGGTAGGTGTTAGCGACAATCTCACGTTGCTGGAACTCCTTTTCCTTACAGAAAGTGCCCTGAATACTCAAGATACCCCCCTTTTCCCGAAACCCCCAGATGTCCCCAGAGGAGTCTCTCCCGAGCGACGTGTTCTTGGAGGTTCATGGGTAGTTATAAGTGGGGTTCTAAGTAGGGTAAATACAATTACAACCCGTCTAGGGGACTTACGCAAACCAGAAATGCTCCAGCTGCCGTTGGCCATCATGGCCATGGCGGTGCTTACGCCCGAAGCCTCTAGCACTCTCCGGTATGGATTCAAACGGTGGACTTGGGCTTCACCGGGGTAGTTCTCCAAAGTAGGGTCCCTTTTAGCGTACCTTTTCATAAGGGTGCCGTACCATAATGGGGACCCAAAAAAGGACCCTAATTTAGAGAACTACCCACATGTTTATATGAAACCAGTTCTCAGAAAAGCATGGCTCACCTTAGAACTGTAAACACTCTTCAACTCATCTTATGGCTTCCCCGCTGGCAATCTTCTTGGTGCTCTTCTCCGCAAAATACCTTTCCGTGCGGGCGCGCTGGTACTCTTCCGTGCGCAAACGATGAATTTCCTGGTTCGGAGGGTCTGGACGTCTGTTTTGGGTTGGCCAAAAGCGAAACAATCTTTCAACCCAATGCCTCATTGATTAGCGGGCGATTTAATGAGCGCAATGCTAATGGTAATGGTAATACTTTAAGAATAGATACTAACACTTAATATTCATAACAAGAATCGCAATTAATAACAACAATAATACTAACCGTAATAACAACAATAATCATGGTAACTAGGTTGAAAGGTTTGGTTTTAGGTTCTGTCAGGTCAAAACCACAGGCGAGGTCCTCTACTGCGGCACTGCAATAAGTCCTCCGGGGGTTTCTGCTTCGCGAAATCATGAAACCCTTAACGTCTTAAAGGCCCAGCGACTGCGTGGCAGAAGTTGCATGGCTGACGGTTGCACCCCTTCTTCTTGAAGAAGAACAGACATGGCCGGCAGTTTCCATCACAGCCCGCACTTGCGTCGGTCCCGTCACTGCCGTCGTGGGCATCATGCTCCTTGGACTCGTCGCTGGCCGTTGATGCGCTGGAAGCACTGCTGGGATGCATCTTCTTCGTGACGGAGCTGAAGAGTACTTGCAGGCCTTGGCAATCAATGCACTCCGCAGGCTCCGCCTCAGAAGTGTGAACCCACAACCGACCTTTTGGGCAGAAGCCGCAAAGATTCCTATGAACTCTTCAACGCAATCAACTGAGCCGACTGCTCCGCCAGTGTTGAGGTGCGATTTCCAAAGACGGATGCAGCCTGTCCTCATCATCACTACGAGGAGTCATGGAACCTAGCATCTCGTTCGCAGAGCAAGGCTCGCGTGGCGATGGCCGTTTGACATCATTGGAAGTGACCATCTCTGCAACCACACGGCAAGAGTAGCAAGATTCAGAGACTCCAAAATCCACCAAGGATCCACATTAAGGACCCTACCGGTACCCGAGGCCCTAAATTTAACTCAGTATCATAACTTTATAACTAGTCTCCGGCTGCAGGATATTGGAGTCTCGAGGAACTTCTGGACAGAGCGTACACCTGTCCTGGTAGAGCCAAGAGTGCTACATGGAATACAAGCGGCATGTCGAACAACGCACCTTTCACACCACTACGCTAGACAGTCATTTACATCACGAGAACCCACGCACACACCTACTTACCTAAATACCTAGCTACAGTACCTAGCTACCTCCTACCCAGCTGCCGAGCTACTAGCAACCTAGCAACAGAGCTACCTGGCTGCCTAGCTGCCTACCTACCTAGCTAGCTACATGCACATGCACATGCATGCATTCGTGCATGCATGCATCCTGGCTTGTGTATATGCATAGATGCATGTCACAGGCTCACAAAAGAATGCCGCACGGATATAAAGAGAAGTATAAAAGCAACATGAGGGTTTAAGGCTTGGGGTCTAGAGTTTCGGGTTGGAGGCTTAGGGTTTGGAGTTTCGGAGGGTTTCCTAGCATACCAGAATTCCATGTCAACTGAGTCTAGCCTCCATCTGCAGGAACAGTTGAACCCCCACTGACTTCCTGGGACCCCGTCATCTGCCGCGAGTGCCTGGGACGCACCGCCTCAGGAAGCTTGATTGGGGTCGTGAGGGGTATTGCTATACCAGGTTATATTATACTGATCATGTATTACGCTATTCTACTATACTTTGCTATACTATACTATGCTATGCTATGCTATGCTATGCTGTACTCTATTCTACTATACTATACTATACTATACTATACTATACTATGCTATGCTATACTATACTATACTATACTATCCTATGCTATGCTATGCTATGCTATACTACACTATACAAGGCGTGCCGTGAATGCTCGGGCAGCTAGGGCTTCAGGAGCTTTGCGCCTTCATGCTGGGGGTTTGAGGCTTACAGTAGGGTTTAGTGAAGTTTAGTGTTTAGGGGGTGTTGAGGGCTCAAGCGCATTCGAGGCTTCTAAGGAATCATCCGGTCGGTTCATGTGTTCGAGCTTTTGGTTCGAGGATTTCGAGGCTGAAAAAGGTTTGGCCTAAGGCTTCGCGCGCTTTAGGAGGGCTCCGGGTTCGGGATACCTCAATAGACCCAAAATCTCCTGAACCTCCCTTCTTCAAAACTTCTCCTTCCGGGGAGGTTCTTGAGGAAGAGAAACCCTGACATGGAGTGTGGTTTGAAGTATCCATGTTTGAAAGACCGTTAAGTAGGCTACTCTAACTTTTTGAACCCTCCAGTATATACGTATACACGACTATGCAACCGATAGAAATATCTTTTTTTCTGAACGCTCCGGCCGGCAGTTCCGAACGACCCAAGCTCTAAGAGTAGCCCCAACAAGCTGCCAGCACTGACATCAGGGTTTAGGGCGTGTAGGTTTAGGGTTTAGGGTGTAGGGCATAGGGCTTAGGGTATATAGAGTATAAGGGGTTCTTTCTACAGTGTAGGGTTGAAGATTTTACTGTGTAGGGCTTTGGTTCGAAATTCCCCTGGTTAGAACCACCAACCCGGATGCCTTAGCCTTATGGGCTTAGGACTTTTTGGAATTCAGGGCTCTGGGCATTCATGGGCTGTGGAGGGCTCAGGCGCTTGAGCTTCAGGGCTTTACAGGGTTTGTGCGTATTAAGAGAGCATGTTCTGGGCTGTTGGGCAGGTATGAGTAGGCTAGTAGGCACAGCAGTAACAGCTATACATATTTACGGCCTAGTACGTACTTGCTTAAAGCCCCCATTCACCCGTCTTTTCTCCTCGCCATGAGCCCTTTCAGTGATCCCTTCACCGCACAACTTGTACTGTATAACGAATGCTCTGACCCGTGCTTGGGATTCTTTTCTCTCCCGCCGTCCGGTCCACACCCCGGAGTACTGCACGCAGCGAGGCAGAGAGGGTCCTGACTAGGGCTTAAAGTTGTTTTGTAAGCATTCGGTTGAAGGGCTGGTTCAGATTCGGAATACATTCAGCTTCTGTTCAATCCAGAGATCGGACGAAGACTGGCTAGCAATCTCGCTTCTGTCTTTCCGTAGCTTCTAAATAGTCAGGTGTACAACGTGTGCAATCAATATCACCTTGCCACAAGCAGGGGACACGATACCCAAGACCCCGTTTTCGGATCAAGATCCACCCGAACTACCAACAGCCCGGGCACTGGGGCAAACCCTCTGACTTAACCCTGAAAGTCCTATCACAACTACATGGGAGAGTCCTTTGCTTGCAGGACTCCGCACCGTGCCACCTGCGGTTGTGGTGTAATTTAGTGGGTAAGGTCATGGGACAGCCTACACCCTCAACCCTAAAACCGAAAACCCGAACAGGGATTTGGGAGACCCTACTTCCCGAAACCTGTGCTTACAAGGACGTTGAGAGTAGACGGCTTGGTGCTAACTAAGGGTTTTGGGTGGAGATTCATGCAGACTTAGCCGGCGACGGGTACGTGCTAGCACCGCTACATAATAATTTCTTATGCAAGCTTTGCGAGTGGTTGCCCACCGACACGACACGCAGGGCAAACTATGAGGCCCTGCTGTGCCACACCTCTTTCCTTGCAGATTAGCCCGGAAGAGCCTGCAAGCATGCATGCCTTACCCCAACATATATATGTCCAGATGTAGCAACCCCCTCCGTGCAAATCCTGGAAAGCGCCAAGACCCCAAACTCAGAAACTGGAGGTCCTGAACTCTTTGAACCCCATACGCCCTATAACTCCATGTGCCACAAATCCTAAAGCCTATAATTAGCTAGCCTACAACCCCTATAAGACCTGCAACTGCACTCACCCCAGTAAGCTTGAGCCTTCTAAACAAGATGGCCCCCTTAACCCAAGAAATCACAAATCTTATAAACCTTCGAAGCCCTGCAACCCCAATGCACCAACCACTAAACCCTCAACGTTCGGAGCCCGAAGCGGTATAGCTTTGTAAAGCCTTTCGCACCTACATGATCCAAAGCATAAGAGCTGACATAATCATGTTAAGTATTGCCTGTAAGCCTTTTTCCCACCTACATGACCGAAAGCATACAAACCCAAATGAACATGTTAAGTCCTCATCCATGCTACGTCGCAAAGAGAAGGAACGAATCACAACCACCATTATCCAGTTTTCGTGCTGAAACCTCAAGGCTGTGCAATGGATTTTCTGCGCGGCATGTCCAAACTTACAAAGGCACCGCAATAAGCTAGTTGTAGTTTCTCCCATTTGGGCCAGCCCATGGTGGTTCAGTTGTGTTTTCCATCGTGTGGTTGTATTTTCTCCCGTTTGGTTATATTTCCACCCTGTCGCCACCCTAAACCCTATAAGCCCTGAAGCCTGTAAACCCTAAACCCCTAAACCCTTGTAAACCCTATGAGTCTTACACCTCTCGCACAGAGGTGCCTTGAACACCTCCTTCGTTGAGCTCCGCATCGGCGCCAGGCACGGGGATGACAGTGGCTTCCAACGACATCTAATCCTCGGGTTTAGGGTTTAGGGGTTCAGGGATTTTGGGTTTAGGGTTTAAGGGTTTATCAGGGCTTCGTGTTTATTGATTTTGTGGGTTGGGCTGGTTGGGGTTTTGGCATTTGAGGCTTCGGGGCTTGGAGTACAGGCTCGAAGCTAAGCCCTAGAGCCATGCGCAGAGGGCGTGCCGATGCAAAAAGCGGAACATGAAGAGCCGGCACCTTCGCGGTTACAAGTGGGTCTTGCAGCTAGGGTCGCAAAACTGTTGTAGATGCTGCCGTGCCTACCAGTATCAGTGGGGTTCTCAAGCTCCTTCCTGAGAGAGAGCCGTCCACCATGCATTCATCCATGTCGACATTCGGGCCCAAGGGTCGTCCACCTCCTCCATGTCTGCTTTGGCGGCCGAGAGCGCTGATTCTGCGAAGGTCACGATGCGTCGGTAGACCTGATCTAGGGTTTATAGGGGTTGGGGGTTCGGGGTTTAAGGATTTAGGGCTTGGGATTGCATGCTTGCGGCACCTCGGTGCGGGATCGCGGGAGCTTTTGCGAGATTTCCTCCAGCCTTGCATTTTATTCTACATGTAGCTTTTGGTATTCCTTCGGCTTGTTTAGGAGGCCTGTGCTACAGCTTTCGAATGCAAAGAAAGGTTTTCACTTCTCCGGCACAGGGCTTGAATGTCGAGCCAGCCTGCTATGTCTTGAAAAGGTTTGTCGAGACCGTAGAGCTTTTACCGAGGCTTTGGGCGCTTCGTCCATGGCTTGCTCGAATTGGGGCTATGCAGACCTTTCTTGCCTGACAAGCCTATGATGACCCCCTGGGCCCAAACAAGAGTTCGGAGTCGGGCTTAGAGCAGGACCGAAAAAGAGAAGGACATTCTAGAATGATAGGCTTATAACAGACATGCGGTGGATGCCAAAAGGGCGCATTGCATCAGAGCCTGTCGAGGCTGGGGCCTTCAAGATAAAGACCAAAACATGCCAGCTTGCGCCCCGCATCTTTTGGTTTTTAGTCTTGGGCCTGAGAGGGTTGAGGCTTTGGAGTTTTGTCTTGTGTCTAAGCGGCACCTAACAGCTTGAGGCTCAATACGTTGCAGGACTTTCGGGCCCTATGAGGTGGCCCCCACTCCGTCAATGTGGCACTCCCGATGCCTCCGAACACTCTGAAACAGCACTGCAGACAGGCGCAAACGCAAACGTGACAGCTAAACCCTGAGTGCCGGACAGAAACCTTGAACGAACCCTAAACTCGCCCCGGCGCTCCAGACTTCTAAACCTTCGATCTATCCTAGAATTACAACCTCAGTAACGCCAAACCCTGAAGCTCATACACACTCTACGAGTAACCTCAGCCCGCAGGTTAGGGGTCTAATTTGAGACGCCAAGCCTTCACCAGGTGGTTCGCACCGCTGCGCTCGTCCACGCAGAGCGCATCCGCCCA